AACTATCTTCCTATGTGCCAGTCATGACTCCAACCACAGAGAGTTTATGCCTGATTCCCACTTATTCCAGTTTTGATCGGACTCCTTGACGCTACAGTCAGTCAAATGCAGCCTTGATGTTGAGTGCAGTCATTCTCACCTCACTTCACCTCTGGAATTCAGTTCTTTTGTCCATATTTGAATTAACATTGTAGTAAGGTCAGGAGCTGAGTGACCCTGGCGGAACCTAAACTAGGCGTCAGTGGGCAGGTTATTTCTAAGCAAGAGCTGCTTGATAGCACTGTTGTTGATCCTGTCCAACACTTTACTAATGATTGAGGGTAAACTGATGGGGCAGATTGAATTTGTTTCGCCTTGTGTGTACAGAACATACCAGGGCAATTTCCAACTTTGTCAGGTTGAGACCGTGTTATAGCCGTACTGGAACAATTTGCCTAGGGGTGCTGCAAGTTCTGGAGCAGATGTCTCCAGTACTATTCGCAGAGTGTTGTCAAGGCCCATAGCATTTTCAATGTCCAGTGCCTCCAGCCATTTCTTGACATCACATGGAGTGAATCAAATTGAGGGAGGACTGACTTCTGTGATGATGGGGACTTCTGGAGGAAGCTGAGTGTAGATTGTTGTGAATGCTTCGGCCTTACTTTTGGCACTGATTTTCTGGGTTCCCCATTGTTGAGGCTGAGAATGTTTGTCAAGTTTCTTTTTCTAGTGAATTTTTAATTGTCCACTAGCATTCATGTTGAATGTCATAGGATTACAGAGATTAGATCTGATCTGGAATCACACACTACTTCAGTCTTTTAACATTTTACTTTGGAGTTTAGGGACATCTATAATTTGCCTGCTTCTGCCAGGTCATTTTGCACACAGGGTCGCACATGCATCTACATGGTAGCATCTTTCCGCTCTTACACTGCTTTCTCCATGCTCACTCGCTTTGTGTGTAATTGAAGCCTCTTCATGTTTCACATGGCTTTCTTCGTCCACATGCACTGACTTTAGCAGTGACCTACAGGCTATCTGGTCTTTGTGAATGACATTGATTTCTTACACGTAGAGTCCTCAGTGTTCACTCACAGCACTACAGCTCTGTAACTTGCATTACATTTTAGTGCCAGTATTAGAAGCTTTGAGCTATAGGGAAAGGCTGAATAGGCTAGGGCTTTTGTCCCTGGAGCGTCAGAGGCTAAAGGATGACCTTATAGAGGTTTATAAAGTCTTAAGGGGCATGGAAAGGGTGAACAGCAAGGTCTTTTCCCCAGGGTAAGAGAGTCCAAAACTAGAGGGCATGGGTTTGAGGTGAGATGGTGATGGTGGAGAGCTCTGAACAGTCAAGGGGTTGAACATGTTGCTGTGTGGCACCATGTTAGGTCAATTGCAATGGATGTGAAAACTTGAGTTCCTTTAATAAAATTGTGGTATCTTTCTTGGTTCCTGACAGATTATCTGCTCACTGATCTCACATGAAGGAGCAATATCTGGAGTCATAGAGTCAGCATTGAAACAGACTCTTTAGTCTAACTCATCCGTGCCAACCAGGTATTCTAAAATAATCTTGTCGCATTGCCAGGTCTTCATCCATAGACATCTACACCCTTCCTATTCACGCACCAAAACAAATGGCCTTTTAAATGTTGTAATTGTACCCACTTCTGCCACCTTTTCTGGCAGCTCATTCCATTACACACACCACCTTCTGCATAAAAAAGTTGCCCCTCAGGAGCCTTTTAAATCTTTCCCCTCTCACCTTAAACCTATGCCCCCTGATTTGGACTCCACTACCTTGGGAAAAACGACCTTGGCTATTAACCCTCTACATGCCTACATGCCCCTCATGATTTTATAAACCTCTATAACCATTTCTTTTAAATGTAGTCCTGAACTCTGCAACTAGGTCAGAGGAAGCCTGTTATGTGGTTGCTCGAAAGATTTGGGCAGTTGTTGCCTGGTGCCTTCGGGCCCAGATGACCCAGGTCTGCTGACAGTATCCTGCCAAGATGCATGCAAGTCGAACAGCTGCAGACTGGGATCAGAGATGGGCAAACTGGAGAGGTCAGACACCTCTGAGGTGTCCTGAGAAGAAGCTTCTGAGGATCATGTGTGTGTGTGTGGTTCCTTCTGTCTCTTGGTACCTGCTGGCAACAACCTGCCTCCCTGAGAGGAAGGGCCACTTGAAATGAGGACATGTTTCCCTTCAACATTCAAGGGAAAAACGCCCCAACAACTCAGCCTCTTCCTGTATTTCAAATGCTCTAATTCCAGCAACATCCTTGTAAATCTTTTCTGAACTCTTTCAAGTTTAACAACAGCTTTCCTAAAGCAGGGAGACGAGAATTGAACACAGTATTCTAAAAGTGGCCTCACCAACGTTCTGCACAGTCACAACATGATGTCCCAACTCCTATACTCAATGCACTAACCAATTTGGTGCTCCTCCAAAAACAATATAAAAGGAGACAACTTCATCAGGAGGATAAGAAAGTTCCAGCACCAAAAGCACACCTTCCAGAGGGAGAAACAGCAGGTGAAGATCCACCAAGGAGACAAAGGAATATAAAGAGATCCCACATCTGCAGGCTTTGCCATCATTTTCGTCATCTCTGCCGGACTTGAATGTCAGTGACCTCCCTTGCTAAGTTGATGCGTCACACTAACTTTCCCTACAGAAATGTGTAAAATCACCACTGATTCCACACTCGCAACCAGAAGGTGGATTTAAGTATGGAATTGTGTGCACACCAGACCTAAGTGCATTTCCTGCACATTGCATTTGGCCTTAATGTTGTCCAAGTGGAACACCTTGGCTGCAGTCCTTAATGCCGCATTTTAAGGATTGCTCAGGCTATCTGCTTTCAAGCAGTCAGTTGCTTGTGAGTGAAGAGCAATACTTGGCAATTGGAACTCCTTTCTTTCTTGGGGTATTGGAGAAGATGCTGCTCATCTTTCACATGGATGATACATAACCAGGTCTGACAATGAAAATTATACTAAGTAGATATTTAAATAATGCAAATTAATATGCATTTACACAAGTGAAAGGTTATTTACAATGATATTTCATCCGTGTCTCCTATGTGTCCTCAGTAATTTGTTTTCTTCCCCTCTTCATACTTCTTTTAAATGCAGTCCTGACCTCTGCAATGGGGTCAGAGGAAGCATAGTATGTGGATGCTCTGAATATTTGGGCCGTTGTTCCCTGGTGCCTTTGGGCCAAGATGACTCAGGTCTGCTGACAGTATCCTGCCAAGATGCATGCTAATCATCCTCAAGTTGAAGAGCTGCAGACTGGAATCAGAGGTGGGCAAGCTGGAGAGGCTGGACACCTCTGAGGTGTCCTGAGGAGAAACTTCTGGGGGTCACATGTGTGGCTCTTTCTACCTCTTTGGTATCTGCCGTTACCAAGCTGTCTCCCTGAGAGGAAGGGCCACTTGGAATGAGAATGACTTTCCATATCCCCGTCTTTCCTTGCAATTGATGCTGAGTACCAATGGATGGAACAATGGAGTGTAATCTATACCCATATTTGGCCAACACTGAAAGTGCTGGACCTGGGTGTCCATGGTGCTCTATCTGACCATGCCAACTTGTCTGACAGCTGGATGCACACAGCCAAGTGCCAGCACTGTACTGATTAAATTGGTGGACTCCTCCATCCTTCAATTAGATTACAAAGTGCCTCTGACATACCTACCTGATGTTCCTCTGTCTGTCTGCTTTTTGGCAAAGTCAATAATGGTTGGGAACAGGCTCTTCTTCTGCCTGCAGTCCAACAGGTGCCTGGTCTCTGGCTGTCCTCGGATTATTATAGACCAAGGCGTTCCTTTGTCAACCAGCTACAAAGACAGTCAGTGATGTGCTCAACAGATCGTGTTCCCAAGTCTAATTTAGAAAGTGTAGAACACCAAAGTGAAAGTCTCTGAGCTGGTAGAGACTGAAGGTGAAAGCCTCTGTCAGTGCATCCTCTGGGAAATCAGTAGCTTCCTCAACAGAGGTGGAAGTGGAGCCGACAGTCTCCTGCACTGGTCTCTTTGTGGAGGTTTGCTGGGTTTTGCTAGTGCTTACATAATAGAAGTGCAGAAGAGAGTTGACAAAGAGGAATAAAATGTGTTGGTTATAATGGGGGATTAGTAAAGCGCAGAAGAGCACAATGAAGCTTACTCGGTGGGTTGGTTATTGTGGGCTCTCCATTACCAAGTGAAGAATTACGCTCTTCTCCATGGAGATCAGAATTTTCTCCTCATAGGGACTAAGGAGCCTGATGTCACCACCTCTCTGCAACTCTTGGACCCAAGTCACCCTATGGTTGCTGACCTCATCTACTACTTCTGACCACCTGTCTTGATCTGGCAGAATGACCTTTTAATGCCATCTTCAGTTAAGAGCACCCCCCCCCCCCCCCATCACTCCCTGATAGCCTTGAGGAATTTCAGCAATTTCAAACAGTGAAATCTGTTCTCTGATACTTTTCTCTCCATCTCCCCCAAGCATGCGTTCTTCTTGGTTTTGATGTTCAGCAGAGCTGAGTTACATTTTGCTATGAACTTCTCTTTGCCTTTCGCTCTTTCACGACTAATCCCTTGCCTTCTAACCTTTATTTTTCTACTTGCTCCTTTCACCTTGTTCTGCAGCTAAAAATCCATCACTTTTCTGATTCTCCCTTCACTTCTGAACAATTCACATTGGACTGGAAACATGGATTCTGTTCCTCTCAGCTGCTTTCGGACCCGCCGATTTTCTCTAGCTTTGTTTTTTTTAAATCTATTTAAGCCATGGTGGCTGTCAGGTTGGAGGAGAGAGTGATCTGGAAGGTGTTTGGCATGTTGACTGTAATTCGGCGTGAGGCAAACTCAGGCCTTTCTGACGAAACGAACGAAATCCACTGCTAACCTTTCTGAGACGAAACGTCAACAATCAGTGATTTCTGGTCGGAACCATGACTCGGGAAGTTGTCTTTCGGGGGCTACGCACTGCGGGAGCCTATCTTCCGCCTAGAAGTTGGTGCGCGTGTTATTGTGGTCCGGGCGCTGCGGGTTCTGGGAGGGTGGACGATGGAGTTCGCGGAGCTGATTAAGACTCCGCGGGTGGACAATGTGGTCCTTCACCGGCCTTTCCTGCCGCGGGTGGAGGGCACCCTGTGTCTGACCGGGCACCACCTGATCCTTTCCTCCCGCCAGGATAACAGTGAGGAGCTCTGGCTATTGCACAGCAACATCGACGCCATCGAGAAAAGGTGAGTGAGGCTGGAGTCGGGCTTCGAGCAGCGGCGACTGTGTGGGGGAGAAGCAGCCGGACCTCACCTCATTTGTACGGTTTATGTGTCAACAGATTTGACCATGAGCGCGTAAACTCTGACAGCTTAGAAATAAACAATAAAGTTCCGACGAAGGATTTCGGCCTGACATATTGACTTCCCTGCTCCTCGGATGCTATCTGACCTGCTGTGCTTTCCAAGCTCCACGTTTATTGACTATTAAGTCAATCATACCCCTGCCCAATTCTTTGGAGCAGCCTAGAAGATCGTCCCATTTCCTTTTTTTTTCTACAGGTTTCGCAACTATGTTGCCCTTATTACTAAAATTCAGTTTTGCTTTATTTGCTCCAGTGGAGATGTTGTGTCTCCTCCTCCAATTGTAATGTCCTGTCTGTCGAGTATTGACCAGAAATCTGTCACTGCATGTTGTTATTGCGGTCACACACTGTACTTGCACGAATTTGTCTTTTATATGAAACAAATGTTTAAGAGGGGGAAACATAGAATTCCTACAGTGTGGAAGCAGGCTATTCGGCTCAAATCCACACCGAACCTCCGAAGATTACTCTTCCAGAACCCCCGCCCCGCTGCGTATCCCTTGGCTAATCCACATAGCCTGCACATCCCTGGACACCATGGGCAATTTAGTATGGCCAATCCACCTAGCTTGCATATCTTTGGACTGTGGGAAGAAACCGGTAAACTTGGAGGAAGCCACGCCGACACGGGGAGAATGTGCACACTTCCACGCAGATGGTTGTCGGACGGTGGAAGCGAGCCTCGGTCCCTGGCACCGTGAGGCAACAGTGGTAGCCACTGTGCCAAATGTTTGCTATCTGACAGTGAAATGTGGGTCTCTTTCAAAATTGATTTTACTACAGTACTCGTATTATTTTGTCGAGATTTGTGTGTCTTTGCCTGCAGGTGTCTTTATTCACATCCTTTATGTCCATCAATCACTTTTATAGTCTGTATCAAGCAAAATTGCTATAGTTGTCAACTACAAGGTTAATTAAATCCTTTGTCAACTTCAGGCAGTTCAGTAAATACTTGCCAATGTAAAAGCACTGTAAGAAGAGAAAATAAATCATAATTCTCTTTACTTTCAGTTATTGCCAAAAGAAAATGTAACTCTTAACCTGACTCGTCGTTTTGCAGGACTGAACAATGGAAAATAACTTAAATTCTGTGTCTGCAGTATGAAGCACCATCTGACAGTGAAATATTCCATATTTGAAGAGAAATCAGCAGTAGGACCCATCTCACCGTACACTGCAAACTCCTTTTGATCACCGCATTGTGCAACGAACAATAGCCCTAGATAAATCTGACTGACGCTGTCATGAATTCTAGGCTATAGGGAGCATTAATGCTAATAAAGCCATTTCTCGAAAGTGAAGAAATTTTTTAAAAATTAAGTATAAATACCACTATTGTTAAGTCGATTGTAATTCTTTAATTCCAGGTTTGTGGGAACATTGGGTACAATTACAATTAAATGTAAGGATCTGCGAATCATTCACTTGGATATTCCTGGCATGGAAGAATGTTTAAATATCGCAAGCTCTATTGAGGTGAGATTTTTATTTATCAGTTGTTTTCCAAGTTATGATAAATTGTTATTGGAATAGAGCTTCTCAAAAGATTTGATTTAGTGCTGAGGATCAGGCAGAATGAACATTCCTTATTTGGCCATGATATGCTTCAGTTCTAACTTCAAAAATACACTCTTGCTATAGCTTTGATTTTTTTTTTCAGCTGTGCTTTGGCTTTCTGAGTAATAATGAGTGTATTATGGATAGTCCAAGTTTGTTTTGAACACATCAGACAGTGTGTTGAAATGCTGAAACTTCTTTTTGTCAAATTATTGTAGCCTGTAGAGATAATTTTGACTTTTAAACCTAGGTCCAAATTCAGTGAAACAATAACAACTTTTCAAATGTTATTTGACTGTTTCAATGAAGCTTTTATGTGTAGTGTTGAAGGTATTTATCCAGTCTTAACATACAGCTCATTGAATAATCCTATTCCTTTCCATTTGTTTTTTTTCTCCTGTTGGTCATTATAAGGCCATCATGCATTATCTAATCTTAATGTCATTTGAGATTTAACAGTGGGCTGCCATGCTGAATCATTGCCGCCCATCTGATCTGAAGGAACTCCCATGGTGATTAAACAGGAAGTTGCAGTGCATTAAACCAGCAATGATGGAGGAATAATGATGTACGTCTGATTTACAAGTGTTCCTGTGCAGTTACTGCCTTGTCTTTCTGTGTGGTGTAAATTGTTGGTTCTAGAGATGTTTTCGAAGAAACTGCGACTTCCATGAGAGAAATAGAATTGCGTTTGCCATTCTCGTGTTCGAGAAGAATTGAAATTTGTCATGTGTGTTAAATTTAGAGGGAAGTTCTTGATCAGTGAAAAGTGACTAATGAAGAGTTCATAATTTGCTGTTTTTTACTTGTTAAAATAAATTCTTTCTGCAGATGCTAGATCAAGAATACCACAAAATAACTAGAGAACGGCAGCACATTGGCTCATAGGTTAGCACTGCTGTCTGACAGCGTTAAGGACCCACGTTCGATTTCAGCCTTGGGTAACTGTATGGAGTTTGCATGTTCTCCCTGTGTCTGCATCAGTTTCCTCTGGGTGCTCTGGTTTCTCCCCACAGCCCAAAGGTGGTCATAGAATCACTACAGTGTGGAAACAGGCCTTCGGCCCAACAAGTCCATACTGACCACAGAGCATCCCACCCAGACCTATTCCCCTATAAACCCACCTAATCTACACATCCCTGGACATTGTGGGCAATTTAGCATGGCCAATCCACCGAACCTGCACATCTTTGGACTGTGGGAGGAAACCGGAGCACCCGGAGGAAACCCACACAGACACGGAGAGAATGTGCAAATTCCACGCAGACAGTCGCCCGAGGGTGGAATCGAACCCGGGTCCCTGGTGTTTTGAGGCAGCATTGCTAATCACTGAGCAACCGTGCCGCCCCATGTACAATTAGGTGGATTGGCCATGCCAAAAATTTACTTGAAGTGTTGAAGGATGTGCAGGTTAGGTGGGTTAGCTGTGGTAAAAACCCCCTTAGGGATTATAGGGTGGGGGTGGGCCTGTTTGAGATTTTCTTCAGAGGGCTGGTGCAGTTTCAGTACGCCAAATAACCTTTTTCTGCATGGTAAGGAATCTATGGAAAGACAGAAAATTGTCTTTTTAACTAAGAGAATCTGTTGAGAGGTGGACCATGCCGCCTCCTGTGTAGTTTAGTTAAAAATAACCCTTTTTTAATTAATCAATTTGGATAATGTACTAATAGAAGGGGCCACGATATTGGCCATGGTGCTTGGCTTTTGGAACAAATATGGAGAGGCACAAAAAAAGTGTAAAATATTGAATAATTGTGGAGGGTATCCTTCTAACTTAATTACTGTCAGCTGTACAGTTGCTTGCAACCCTTGCTATTTGTAAAGTAACCTGAGTGTGTTTCATGCATAGATGTCATAAAATTGGATATAGCGTGCATTTACCCATATTTACTAAAGGACCATATTCATAAATTACAATTTTGGTGGACATTTCCTGATAAGTTATCTCTACTGATAGGAATCCATGCAAGGTACATTATGAATTTCCACTCGTTCACTTTAGGAAAGAAATCAATATTGCTTCCATATGTTGATTGAAGCTGAGAGGAAAAGAACCTTAGGTCATTTAAAGGGATGGCTGTACTAATTGACAAGCATAGTGGACCATTAATATAGATTGCTTTCTTTCAATATTAAATACTTTCTCGACTTGATTAAATCAGGATAGATATATTGTCTCAGATAACAAGGTGTGGAGCTGGATGAACACAGCAGGCCAAGCAGCATCAGAGGAGCAGGAAAGCTGACGTTTCGGGTCTGGACCCTTCAGAAATTTTTTTCTAATCTATAATGTATTTTGTTGTTTTAAATAAACTAGCACATGAGGTTAATAAATCTTTTACAAACAATTAATCATGAGAAGATTCTTGTT